TATATATATATATATATATATATATATATATATATTTGCAGTCTTCTATACCGCTCTACTTTTTAAATCAAGCGCAAAAGCCAAACAGAAAATGAAATGACATATAGTTTCTGAAAATGATTCAGACTATTCTTTTATCTCAGTGGTAATCGCATTTTAAAAATAAAGAAAAAATGAATTTAAAATGAAACAAAAAGAATCAAAAAAGAATAATAAACAGGTTTAGCACCATACACGACAAACATTTCAGAAAACGCAAGAAGAAAAAAAGAAATAAATCAACGACAACAGAAAATGATAGACGTACTTTCACAGATAGCATGTCGAACACAATTTGAAGTTGCAAAACAGAAATTTGCTAATAAAATGCAAAAATGACGAATAACTGCGGAAGTTGGCAACAGGCCAATTGCGTACGTTTGTTTATAATGTCAAAATTTACGAACCGATGTAACTACAAGTCGCTTCAAGACTAACGGATTTTTTGCCAAGCTTTTAAAATTTGCACACTATTACAGCTTAAATTTAAAAAGGGAATTTTCCTTTTTATTGACTTTTGGAGATGTTGTTTTTTTCCGTATACGTATATTTGTCTTCTCCAAGCATGTATCTATAGTTTCTAATTTCCAGTTAGTTTTTACTGGCTTTTTAAACTTTTCTAAAACAGAAAATTTCGTTTTCAGATCTGTTAACTAGGATGACAAATCAACTGATACTTGGCTTACACTTGAAAGTAAAACCCTTTAGACACAAAAAATTCTGTTGTTTTTTTCCACCGCACATTGTTGATTGGATATTTTTACACAGTTTATTTTGGTTAGGCTTGATTGATATCGAAATCGTTATAATTCAACTTTTTATTTGAAGATGAGAACGTGTTAGAATTACTGAAGAATAAATGGTTAGAGAGATAAGAATATGTAAGCAGTTGAAGTTTAACTAGCGTTAAATATTTGTGAGTACGTTTTTTCAGAAATTAATGCGGCATTTTTAATTTATGGCTGGGGCTACAGAACAGTCACTACGTGAAACACAGGTACGGCCGTCTATTACTGGTCTGTCGCCAAAGGAAGGTGTTCCGGGTACACAAATCAAAATTCGAGGTGAGAATCTCGGTACTGGTCAGTCAGATATACTCGTTCTTTCAATATGCGGAACTGACTGCTTGATGTCTGCTAAGTGGAAATCTCCATCTTTAATTGTAGCTAGTGGGTTTCTTTTTGTTTTTTTCATGTAATTTTAGTAGTAATCTCAACCTAGTTATATGATAATACAGTCTTTGGCGCTGATGAAGTTTTGTTGTAGGAGTCGGTCAGGCGAAGCGAGGAGTCGGGGAAATAATTTTAGTCACTAAATCTTTGGGACGTAGCGTTTCAAGCGTAAAATTCCGAGTCTTCATAGTGCAGATTGGACCTTTAGAAGATAGTGCCGTTTGGGTGGATGAATCGCGGACAGTGCCAGGACGTGAAGCAGTTCGCAATATTCCTGAAAGCATAGAAACCGTTGATGCTTTGGGTCTTCCCATAGAACCGTAGCTTTTTTATGTCCGATTTCTTTTTGGTAATCGTGAATTATCTATCGCTAAAGGTCTATTTTTAAGGCAGAAAAAAATGGAACAATCAACTTTAATGCAGATGTTTCCTGAGGGATCAGGTAACTTAAGAATGGAGAACTTTAGTCCTGCATGGTTTCTGTTAGAGAATCACATGGGGACAAGGTTATTTGTTAATTCTGTGACACTTGCTGTTACTAGTGATTTTACTATAATTTCTTGGTGTGCTTATCGGTCGGTTGACTTTTTTTGCAGTTTATTTGACTTACGTCGGGGTTTGAATAATTTGGCAAAAAATATCGACGAAGAAGACAGTAATGCAGATATTCATCGTGCAAATCTTTACGCTTTGATTAACTGCGTTGATGCATTAGCCGCTTGCCACAGTCGCATGCAACGGGAAAAGAATACGAGGGGCTGGCCGCTAACGCAAACAATTTACGAAAAGGTTATTCAGGAACATGACTATTCTCTGCTTTAATTTTTTTTGTACCTTTCTCTTTGATTAAACCATTGCTTTAATCTCTGAGAAGCTTTTAGTTTTGGCTTTATAGTAAAAAGTACTATCTTAATTTAGTTAACGGAGTCTTCGTCAACAGCAAATGGTTTGTTTTACGATGTCTTGAACCGGAAAGATCGCGCTGATGCCACTCGGAATGCGTTGTCTGTGCTTACTCGATTTAGATTTATATTTTTTTTATCAAGCGCTATCGACCAGAATTTAGCTAAGGTTTATTTTTGAATGAGATTTTCTATTTAAAGTCTAGGCATCTCAAACTGAAAAAAGTACGAGAGACTTAGTTTTGGACTTTGCTTTTAAAGCATAAAGGGAAAAAAACGTTTGAAGCCAGTTTTTAGAATCTGATAAGTTGGTTGTGGTCCTGTAGCATATCTGTTTGAAGAGGCTGCATAGTTTATCTTAGGATTTAGAGATTTAAATGGTAAAAAAGACTTAGCTGCTCTCTCATCGCAATGTCCTGCGGTAACTGATCTTTGACAGGGAAGTCGGTCGAGTAGAAGGTGGGGGGAGAGGGGTAAGTTGTGTGGTAGGAGTCAGCCTCAGAGTGAACATTGATTAACTCAAGGGGTGATGTGAAAAAGTTGCTATTACACCGTAGTCATTTCATTCTTATGGGACAGTTATTTTTTCGAGATGATCCAAATTGTGTCGTCCCTTTTGGAAAGTTTTGGTAATCTTGCAGATTGACCGATTGGCTAGCTGCTTTTTAGTAGGATGGTTTAAAAAGGGGGCACCGGCAAGAAAAAGGAAGATATTGTTAGAGAGGGAGAGGAAAACGGCGGGGGCGCAACTTCTGTACTTAGTTGCATATGTCTTGAAACGCTCTTATGACAAAGGCAGTGTGGGGCAGTAGTAGCGCCTCAGCATTCAGTGTTACCACTTTCGGCTTTGAATTCGGTAACTTTGAAATGTAGTTGTGTGCTCTCAAATCTTGTGATCTTAAGATCAAAAAAGCCAATTCATCGTTTGCTCGTTCCGCATGATTTAGGCGAGGGACCATCAGAGGGTTTCGTTATTCCAGTGAAACAACGAGATACTGCAAGTCTTTTGTTATTGATCAAACATGTGTATTGTTTTTTAAATGAAGGAAGTGCCTGACCAGTAGGCGGCGTCTAGTACTGTCAAGGATATACGAGAAGGGTACCAGTACGAGACTGTTAACCACGCTCTCCATTTTAGTGATCCAAAGTTCGGTTCTTGCATAAAGATTATCACCTTTTCATGACGAAATTTCAAAGAAGGCTATGAAGCAAAACGTAAAACGGATAGGGAGCTTCTTAAGTCGTATGCAGAAAGATGGATGAGAAGAATACGTTTTACAACTTTTTGTTGCAAATAGCGGGGCACCTCCCACTACTTCGTGGTTCTCCGTGGAAGTGTGACTGTTATTCACTTTGTCTTGACCGGTCATAAAACAAGCAAATTTTCGGGAAACGCCCCATATAAGCAACACTAATGGGGTTTTCTCTCATATCTGGAAAATGAAGAGAGGAACTCATGTTTTAAAGCCTACAGTCACGCGCAAAACGAATATTTTTTGCTATGGCTCATGCGAGCTACCAACCTTTGCTTAACGTTGTGTACCACATACCATTACACCTTGCAATGCACCTGCAAGTGATTTGTGTAATGCTGCGCTAATTCGACTTCCTTCACATCACGAAATTATTTTCAAGTCGACGCGTCTTACCTAAAAATTGAGTAGTTAAAGATCTTTTGCATCTGTGATGTGATGTCATTGTTTCAACCATCTTTCACCACTGTGTCATACTTCTCATCGACCTCTTTTCCTTATTATTGTTTCGGAAGGCCAAAACGGACAAACATTTCTCACTGCTGCCTATAAATCTGCAACTGCAGAGGGCAGGGTTTTAGCGCCGGACGAGGACTTCACAGTCCTATTTAAAGTCTGAAGTGGTCGACGTATCTTGGCTGCATCAATTTGCGACGACAGCGACATCGCTATTGTCGCAGCTTGCACGAAGGGAGAAGCTTTTCGGAAGCCTTCTCCAAGTATATATAGGGCCACCGCTGTGCACGGGGTCTAGAGTTTTAAGTGAAGTAAGGTCCCAGCTTCCCGATACTTCAGTGAAAATGTACTGCATGGAGAAGTTTATCGGAAGTTGATGTTTAGAGATGACTGCCAATCTTCAGAACTGTTTCTGGGATTGTGTATTCTGTATCCGACAAATCTAACTGTAGTTTTTTATGGGGATTTTGGTGTACCTTTTTAAGTTTTTTTATGGCTATTATAAAGAGAATGTGATATTGGAATTAGTAGTGGATGAAGGGGCGTTAATTTGGATTATGTTGCTGGATATCGATTTTGACAGTAATTTACCGCTTTGCTTTTTGAATTTACTTGTTTATTTCCAGGGCGAGTACTCAACTATACTAAACGATTACGCGCGCGCGAAATCTCTGTTTAAAGACACTGAAGTACCCCTTTTTAAAGAAGGTTAATTTATAGGAGTTACAAATGTTTTTTTATTCCTTTTAAAGAGTATTGTTCTTTGTCAGAGTGTATATAAATTCAACAGGATTAGAAAATTGTACTTTTTGACTTTTAGTTTTTTCAATTTCTTGGATTTGTTGAGCTATCAATACTTGTAGTAATGGCAGTACTGGATTCGAAAATGGAGCTTTTCAAGCGGAACATGAAGAAGCGGCTGATTGATATGCCTACGTCTTTTGAAGACCAAAGCAAACTGATTAAATATTTGAAAGTTTGTCATTAAGGTCTTTGTAAAAGTTTTAACATCCGTATTAAGTTTTGTAATATTTCTCTTGTATGAATCCCTTTTGAAATTTTAAGGTTCTTGAACCAGATTCGGATCCTGCATGGGACTGTATTACTGCATATCATTGTTGGCTGGAAGATTTACTGTGGCAAACCCAGTTCAAACATCATGAAATGGGTAAGCTTTCTCTTTGTTCAACCTCCAAAACTTTTAGCTTACGAATGCTTTAAATGAATTTTTCTTAGTTAGTTGCCTCAGTGTTTGGTAACTGATATTCTATATAAAATTTTTGCATTTCTCAGGTTTTTCTTTGAAATACTGACGGATTATTATGTATTTTTAAGTGTTAGCTTATTGTGTTTTTTTAAACTTTAATGTTTTAGTAATTTTTTTATACATTTTTCACCTGTTATGCTTTTTTTCTTAGTGAGTCTATATATATTTATATTGCGTATTGGTTTCCAATTCGATTTCATCTCTTTTGCTTCTTTTACGGCGATAGTAGATGGTACTTTTTAGTTATACTGCTGTATTATATAGCTTGGTTTTTTGCTTTTTTAGTTCCAAAGTGTTGTTTAATTAATTCTGAGTAAACTGCATATCTTTTTCTTTTGTAGCAGCTGACGAATTAAATTGGCAACGAATTACCCCCAGCAACGAAATTTGTTGTAAGCACCTTAAACGAAGTCAATTTTTTCCGCTGTCTTATCTCTATTTTCCATAGCCTTTCTGAATAAGCAGTCATAGTTTCCTTAATTCGCTTCAATAAAGCGTTTTTCTGGAGTGGAAACTGCTTTACAAGATTGGGTCTTAGGTCTTGTATTTGGCTGTTTAACATAATTTATTCTATCTTAATTTTTAGCACCACATCCTCCTATCGTAACTTCATTTTTCGGTTGTTTTTACTGTTTTTGATTGCGGCATTGCATTTTTATTGTCTGCTTGTGCTTCTCGTTTCCTTAATATCTTCTTGGCTGTTGCATGCATAATAACAAATAACTACTCAGTTTTATAGAATACTTTTTTAGTGATGGACGGTAGGGACAATAGTCGGCTTGAATTTGTTGAATCGACCGTAAGTTTAATAACGGACAAGTTGCAAACGTTCTGGAAGTTATCGCAAGTTTACTCTGCATCCTCTACGAACCAGAATTATGCGGACCGACAGTTTGATATTAACGTAATTTTTACCTTTACTTTATGAGATTTTTTATTTTTGTAGATTGATTTTTGGTATCTTTTCAGCAAATGTTGATCAATACTATCAATGTTTCTTCGTGGTTGATGCTTAACGCTTTAGTGCCTTCCTCATTACCTGAAGCAGTGATTTCTCAATACAAAGAACAATTCGTTGAATGGCCCACAGTTCCTTTCGACTCTTTGTCTAACCAGCTTTTTTCGTCTTTAAAAGTTTTGAGGTATGATTTTTGTGGCAGTTCATACATATAATTTTTTAATAATTTTTTTCAGAAGTTGCATAAGCACAATGCTAGATTCAAACTTCACTAGTGAACATCTCCAACCACTTATAGAACTTTCAATAACTATACGCTTGAAGTGTCTTTCGAATGTCATTGAAAAAACTAGTGAAGGTCTTTTTACCCACTTATTATTGCAATAGAGCTGAAAGATTTTTAAAACAGTTTTTTTCAAAGTAGCTATCCTTGTGTTAATTTAATTTAATGTTTCGAATGTTAACAGTTCCTGTTCTGCACAGTTAGAATAGTTGAAATCTTGATTCAAACCAGTAGTCTAATTCACCTTTATTTTTTGTGAAACAAAGGAAATGGTAATTTAGGATTTTTTGAAAGAAGTCCTTCTTTTTATGTTTAGCAGTTGTTTTTTTATTTTTTTCTTCTTTATTATGTTGTTTCAAATTTATAACTTTTCTTTCAGGTGTTTCTTCTCTAACCGCTAAAGAGAACTGGAAGTTAGAGACTTTGCCAAACAACAGCTCGAAGACTGTTCTTCCTGATCTTTTTGAGACTGAAGTATTTTTTAAAATGAGATTTTAAACAAAGAGATAGATAACTACAAATATACGTTTTTGCACTCGCATTTATTTATATATGTTATTAATTATCATTCCCCTTTACTATTATGCAACTTTTTTATTTTTTCCTTAAACTGTGGAGTAGAACATATTCCTTTTTGCGCGTTTTCTGTTTTATTTTTTGCTTTTTTTACTGCTCTTTTACTGTTTTTGGCTCTTCTTTTGGGAAGGAAATTTTAGCTGAATGAGGCTTTACCATCCGTGAAGCAGATTTTGTCTTTTTCTGGTTTTCATGGTGAACTAGATTTGTTCAGCCGTGAAACGTTCAGACCAATCTTAACAAGTTTGTTCACCTCTATGATAACTTCTGTTCGCGATTGCATTCGACAGCTTCTGCAGCTAAGGTACGCAGTATTTTTTGTTACAGCTTCTCACTAATTTTTAAATAACTTTTTTATTTCTAGTTTTTTTTTTTAACCTTATCTTTCTTAGGAAATTTATGTGCTTCAGTAATATTTAGGGGAGACTTGAGAAGGCCATCAGATTTTAATTCTTTCAAACCTAGTAGCAAGAAGCTGTTGATTTCCGTGTGCAATATTGAGTATATAATCAACAATACACTGCCAACTTTCTGCAAAAGACTTTCTGATAATGGTGTCAAATACGGTGTTGCAATTTTTGAGGTGGGTATGAGAATGTTAAATTGTGATGATTTGAATTTTTTGTTTTTTATAGAGTTTGTTGACTTACACATTCATTGTTCTTCATTTAAATGGCCATTCACTACTTTTCTTTTCTGTCGAGGTACAGAGATATTAATTTTAGCAGAGTAAAGCGAAGATGACACTTTTTCGGAGAGACTTGATTAAGTGTTATTTGCAGTTGAAATGTGCAACTTTTTCATCCCTTATTGAGTCGGCTATATATAGTGACCTTTCGTATGAAGGCGAGTTGCAGTTTCTTTTTATTCCTCATTAAACTTAACTTTTTTCCTCAAAGTACAGACCAGATATTTCTGACCTGAGGCGTGAAACCACGCATCTCAAGCTATTTTGCTAAAGGAATTATTTAATTTTTTTTAGCTGTAAAATCTTTTAGAGTATAGAGACATTTACCGTCAGTAACATTTTCTTTGCTTATATTACGAAAGTGACTATCGTCTTTTACTTTTTTTTGTTATTAAAAAAGGACTAATTTAAGATGCATCTGATTTTATTAAAGAATTATTGATGTGCTTAGTATTTATTCAGTCCGAAGTATGCTTGCTCGCTCCGCAACTCATCCAGGAGGTAGTCTGGTTTTTTTTTTCAAATTAAAAAGATCAAATTTTCCTGTTAACTTTGTATAGCTACCGTTTTATGCTCGTTCTGTAGGTTTACATATGCACAAGTCCACAATAAATTGTGTGCTTCTAACTCGAAATTTCAAAATTATAATTTTGCTGGTTAGTCTCGTTTGGTTTTGAACTTGAAGGACCGAGGAAAGAATTTTGGAGAGTTTAGTTTTTGTCAGAGTTAAAAAATTTAGCAGGATATGCCTTGGCGTATCTTTTGGGTTTCTTAGATTTGTGAACAAAAGATGGAATTTCAAAATTTTGATTTATTCGATAACTTCAGTTCTTTACTTTTTTGACTATGCTAATTTATCTGTTCAATTTAAAGATAATTGTAGACAAAGCACAAATGTTTATTTACGAAAGCATTTAAAAATATTTTAAGTTTATGTAGAGGATTTAGTGTTTAATCAAATATTAAACTTGTTGCTTGGGCATTTACAAAGAGTTGGCTGTTGTAGGCCCTCTATTTGATTTTTAATTCTTTGCTCAAACTCTTCTGTTCAGCAGAATTTTAAAAAATTCAAGAATTTTGGACAAAAAAAAAATGCTTATTTTGGCGTGAGACGGTCGATATATGTATAAACCTACACTCTTATTGATTTACTCGCTGAATTTGTGTTTTTTTGAGCTATTACTTCTAATTTAACAGATACTTTCACCGGCAGTACAAATCGGATTTGAGGAGTTACTGAGCAGGCTTGCAGGCCTGGAGAATCTTTCTGGAGAGCAAGCAACACAATTAGTTGTTGATGTAACAGCTTTAGAAGAGAGCTCACAGAACTTTCTTACTTTAGAGACCAGGTAAGTTGAATTGTTCTGTATGAGTACACCTTTTACGTTTAAGAGCGGTAATCTTATTAATTTCTTTATCTTTTTTAAAAAATTTTTACAGGGCTGCCCTAAATGCCTTCCGAGCTAAGTTAATAGATACGATTGACCAAAAGTTAGTTCTTCTTTGGTAGCATGAAATTCTGTTTACATTTTTTAACAATATATACGTATTTTTGATTTCACTGGTTTTTTATTGATAACTTAATTGTCACAGGCATTTTCAAAGATCATTACGGAACTTCCGTGCAGCTATGAGGATGGCGATAGCCAGTTTGAACTGTGTTCCTACTAATACGCTGAATGAAACGTCTGAAGTTTGAGAAGACTGGATGACTTTTTACATATAAATAGAAAAATTTTTTTTTCTGGTGTAGATACCTTTTCTCTAATTTAACTAAACTTATTATTTCTGTAATATGTGCGATACTAAAGCGGGTTGTATTTTATTTTTCTACTGGGGTTATATTTTGTGTTATTCTTATTTTTTATCAATTTAATGTTTTTGTAAGAATAAAACGTTGAGAGTTTTCACTATTTGATCATTGTTTGCAGTATGACATCTTGCATTACATAATATTTTTGATTCGTTTTCTTCAGCACAAGTATTTCATTTTAGTTTCTAAACAGCTTATGTTTTTAAGTCTTTCAGGACTCAAAATTTTTTCTGATATCTGAATTCTTTACATTTATTTAGAGCGGGGTGTGCGATGTACGCTATAGTCTTGACTGTTCTTCTTCTTCTTGCTGCCATTCAAATATTGGGTCCGTTCTTTGTAAGTTAGTGTTGTTTTCCAATATTTTTGTATTTGTGTTTAATGTTTTATTTAAAATTGATTATAAAAATTTATTGGATTAATTTTAGGTTCGAGGAGCAGTCGGTTATAAAATGGGTAATAGGCTACGAATGGTAGCAGCAGCAAAATTGGAGTTGATGATGACACCCTTTAGCGTTATGGTTTTTAAAAAAGCTGTTTCTTGTTACTTGCCGACATACGATCAGAAGTCGTACAGAGACTTATCTTCTTCGGTATCTTTATGAGACATTGAAAATTTCCACTTGATTTCTGTTTACTCTTTTTTTTTTTTTGAAGGAATTTTTGTGTCAGGAGCGGGTTTTTGATAAATGCTCTTCTGTAAAAGTTTCTTGAATCTTAATACATTAGTGTTCAAATTTTCTTTCTCCTACACCCCGCTCCAATTGTTTAAACTTACTAGTTTGAAATGCTGCCTTTTAGCGTTGCCGCGTTGTCCTTTTATTTGGTGTTGTCTTGTGGCTCGTGTTATCACATTTGTCTTATGCAGCTATTTATCTTCCAGAATTTATAAGATTAAGAATTTCATTTATTGCTAACGTCTCAGCAGGACTCTGGAACTATTTTGTGCCAATAATGCTCGGCTTGTCTATCTGTTCTTTCTTGACGTCACACTGCCGAGTAGGTTTTCTCAATTGTGTAATTAGCGAGGGTAACAGTTTGAGGTGCCTAATAAAACATTTGTGGTTAGCACTGAATTTGACTTGAAATTCTGACTGTAATATGTATCCTGGAGTTATCGAGGTGTCATAAATTTTCTTATTTAAGGTAAGTAGGAATTGATAAGCGGTTCAGTTCTGCATCCTAATGGTTTTTATCCTTTGCATTTCAATAGTTTCGGCTCTAGTTTATGATGAGAGTTAAATTTCTGATTTACTTTTACTTTTTAGTTGGAACATGATAAAATTTCTTGTGCTCAGTGAGGGGTTGAGATTACGAACTGTTTTGTATAAACTGTGTATTAAATATAATTTTAGGAAAGCTTTTTGTTAGGATTTTTTGCCGTTTTAAAGACTGAGTCTAATTTTACTGCAAAACAGTCGGTTGAAGGAGTACGTGGGATTCTTGCAGGCGTGGAAATATTACTTTATTCATTTTATTTAAGAACTACATTTTTTGTTCAAATTCTTTCTGGGTGATATAAAATTTGTTTTAGAAGTTCTTTTATTTTAACTGTATTTTTTAACTCTGTAATTTTCTGTGGCTTTTTTTGTTTCATATAATTTCAGGTGTTCTCATTTACAAAGAACTTTGCTCAGTCTCTGCTCTCCAACAACTTAATCAGACATCTTTTAATGGATGAACGTTTTCAAATGAAAGTAGTGACATTAGTCACAGTTGTTATTACTCTCGCTACTTTTTTAAGCAGCAGACATATTTTTGTTAAGGTAGGCTTATAGCTCAATTGCCGTAATGAATTATGCAAATTTCCTCTTTTACCAATATCTGCAAGCCATTTTAATTCTAAGGACGTTTTCACCCTATGTGTATTTTTCTTTTTTGAACCTTAATTGCCCTTTTAGTTTTTTTCACTCTTGCCTTTTCTAATATTTCAAGATTATACAAGTTAAAAATTGTGTTTCTGAATTCAGGTATCCTCCGAGAAAATTGTTAATTTTTCCTAAGATTTCAAGAGATTGCTCAGTTCTTAACTTTTACTCTCTTTGAATTTATTGTTATTTTAAGGAAATATCTATCTTTGTGAAAGACTTACCTAAAGAGGCATCAAACCTTCGGATGGCTTTAATTTCGGATCTTCACGCAGGGGCGTGTGTGGGTAGAGAGGAGATCGCTGAGGTGAACGTATAACAAGATTTTTGTTTTGAACACTGGTGTCTTAAAGCTTAAAAAGTATCCATGAAATCATTATCTTCATTCAGTTTTCATGAAAAGAGTTATTAAAAACTTTTTATTTCTTGATTAATTGTCAGTTTTCTAGGTAGTTGATGTAGTGAATTCTCAAAATGTTGACGCCGTTTTCCTTGTAGGGGATGCTGTAGATGGAGAGAGAAATGAAACTTATGATCGTCTGGGACCTCTCCAGTTAATTGTTAATTTGACTTTGAGTTCCGAAATTTGTCGTTCTCTTGTTTAAATTGGAACTATTCAGGTTTTTGAATTCGAATCTTGGAACTTTTTATGTCTCTGGGAACCACGAATATTACTATGGAAATGCAATGGAGTGGTTCAGGCAGTTTCGAGATTATGGGATTAATGTTCTTGATAACCAGTAATCTTTTTTAAAGTGAAACTGTAGGTAAAACTAAAAATTAAAATAAAAAACGATCTATTACATGGTTTTTTCGTAATAGCACGGAAGAAATTATTTAGAGTTGCTCTTGGAGGAGTGGGTGTCTCAGAAGTTCGTAAGATTTTTCTTTCTAGTGTTGGGACTATAAAAAAAATAATAAATTTTTAATACTTTTCGGGATAGTTTATTTGGTTTCTATCATAATTTCTCGACACCATAGTGTGAGAAAGTTTTGCAAGATGTGTTCAGGTGTGTCAATTTGAGCGGCGTTTGTTTGGCTGGCGTTAACGATTATTCCAGTGGTCGCAGCGGGTAAGATATCTCTTTCTGTTCTGCGCATTAGGTCTGTCGTAGCAATTTTGGTATGTTTAGGGTTCATTATAAAAAAATTTTCTTGGGGACCTACTCTTCCCCAAGCATTTTTTTAATTTTTAAAGCAAAAATCACCTTTATTTTAGCATTGAAGGTCATAAGTTTGATCCAGAAGCAGCTCTTCGCGATTGTGATCCAACTAAACCAATTATTGTCCTTTCGCACAATCCAGCATCTGCTACTCAAATAATTCGCAGCTCAAAAAAGAGAAGAGTCGATTTGATTCTTTCCGGTTGCTATTTATCCAAACTCTCTCGCATAATTCTATGTGTATTTCTTTACCAATTGATTAAAACTGCTAATTTTCAGGTCATACACACGCAGGACAGTTCTATACTATGGTCCCCTTAGTTTATTTTATTTTACCATATTTTCATGGAAAGTATATTTTTGATGAAGGAACACAGCTGTTCGTTTCAGCAGGAACGTTATATCAAGGCGCTCCCATGAAAATGATTGGGTTTACAGAATTGTGGATTATAACCTTGAAGGCGTCTTAAGATTGCACGGTTCAGTTGGATTTCTGTGGTTGCGTTCAGCTTCTTTTGCAAAGCTTTACATACGGGGAGTCTCGGGCAAAGTCTTTCTTTTTACAAAGCTTTACATACGGGGAGTCTCGAGCAAGGTCTTCATTTTTATTCAGATGCTTTAGAGGGCTTTCGCGATTACTTTTGCTAGAAAAACTATTATTTTATTAGTTTTATTATAATTTTTTATAGCTCTTGCTACGGATTAGAAATTCGAAGGGAGTCTACATTTTTTCAAATATTATGGTACTATTTTCAAGAAAATTTAGTCAAAACAATACAGTAGATATTATTAAATTTTTTGTTGAATGCATTTGAGGACCATGGTTTTGAAATGATCACTGTTTTCAAACACACTGTTGAATGTTTGTTTACATATTTGCCGTAGCTTACAGGTTCTTGTGCCAAAAGAACAGTATTGTTTCTATAAGTTTACTCTCTCAGCTTTATGTTCAATAACTTGTTTTGATACTCTTCTAATGCTTTTTGAACTAATGATCTATAATTTAACCTCGTTCATCTTGGCAAAATTCTTATAACGGCTGCCAAAAATTTAAACTTTTTTGCATTTGCATGACTTTGTTTATAGTTCTGTTACGTGATAATTTATAAGGTAGAGTTTGAGCTTTTGTGATATTGTTATAGATTTGGCTTAATTTACTTTTGTTTTTTGTTTGGTAATTTTTTACCCGTTTTATTTCACTGACACAAATCTTTGTCTTATGTTTCTTGAAATTTAACCGTGATGAGTGCGTTCCACCGTAATTATCAGTCAGTAATGTTGACGTTTGGTTTTTGCTTGGGTAACTAATAAAATTTTTTTGTGACTGGTGACTTTCAACAGGTAAGATGTCGATACTTGCGGAACCTAGGCGGAAGCAGAGAATAAGCATTGATCCACGGAACCTTGCTTGGAAAAACGGTCAATTTTGCCATTTTCATTTGTTTTTAAAAGAGGGTCATATTAATTAGCTTTATTTTTGGTAGGTTTGGAACTCGCACCGGAGTTATTATCTACCTAATTCACAATTTTTTTTTATTTTCAGATAAAGGGAATTTTGGGAGAGTAATGTTGGAAAAGATGGGTTGGAAACCTGGTAAGGGATTAGGTCGTGAAGAACGAGGACCATGTGAGAACTTGAAGCTCAATTTTAACGCCAGCAGGAAAGGTATGGATTTTTACTTATGTATGTTAGTTCTTGCTGATCTGTTGCAATGCTTTTTGGACAAAAACTTTTATTTCATAGAATTGCAAAGAGAG